GATGTCGTCTCGTCGGGAATAGAAGAAGTATTATCGCGTAAGAAAGACTGTTGTATGTGCAAAGAAGTACTCGGCTCTCCGTACTGCGACCCCGGTGAAACTGTGCTACTGTGACAGTACACAATAAAGCTTAGCATAGGTCCATCGGGGTCGCAGGACGGTGAGCCAAGGACCTCTCTGAACAATACAACAATCTTCCGTAAGCGGCAATCCTCCTCCGGCTTCCGGTGACACTACATCACGAACTGCTTCCAACCAACTTTTCCTTCGAAATGGAAAGTAGTCTCACAGTGCACCAGAAAAGTCGTGTATTCGATCGAGTTGAATCTCAGTTTATGAAATACCAACCAACTAACCGGGATGCCTTGCCCTAAATCAGATGCCTCGATAGGGTACAAGCAGATTTACTACCATCTTAAAGAGACTACATCTACCCAATTAAATACGGTTCTAATGGTCCGTAACTCAAAGAAAATAAGTTCCCTTTACGCACACAAAAATATCCAGCAACCAACTCATCATTTTAATTATGGAACTGAACGCCTGATTTTACAAAATTAGCAAGTCGACCTTTGCACAAAACTTGTCGAGCTGTCAAGGAATTACAGAAGTGTTCAATTACTTTTATTGTTGCCCTCATGAGGTGATTTATTCACCTTTTCAACCGTTCGTTCGCTCAACTCATCCTTTTTGCAGTATCTGGTGTTCTTCGTGAATGGACAATCAATTACGTGTGAATTTCCTGTTTGGCGCCCCCTCGGAGTAATTGGCGGATATGCCCACCTAGTCTCTTTGGTCGCCAGAATTGTGTGCCCCTCCACGAGAGCGTTCATTGTAATCTTGTTGAGTGCACCACCCAAAAGCGTTGGGGTCTTGGAGACTCTCCAAGGTGAGTCTCCGACCCGGACAGACCAACAGAGTCGTTGAGTGGTTGCTCAATCAACTCGCCCCCATCTGGCTTTCGGCCAAGTGTTCTGTGCGGAAGGGATAGAGCGGGACAAGTTATGCGGCTGTGAATGAAATCATTTGGATGACGGAGAAAAGTGGGCGGAGAGTGCACATCTCAACGGCCGAATGAGCCACGAGCCTGCATGCCAGACGGAGTGGGAGTGCAAATGGAGGGCGAAAACAGGCAGGGGCGCAGTTGGCCAGACCGGAGGGCAGAAGTGACAATCGAAGACATGTTAACAACGTCTGGAAATGACAGATGACCAAATGGGTGAGGCAAAATTTATTCAGAACAGACAAACTGGCTGTCCATGGCAAAATCATGGAAAAGTTGAGATTAAAAAAGTGTCCTACGAAGAAATAGGAGAAAAGCGAATTACTGAAATGAGCGAGGCAGCGGGAAAGGTAGGGCGCAACCGGGCACAATTTGATATTCGTCAAAACTGGGCTCAACAGATGTGGGACGCCAGTTGGTGACGGATGGTGGGCCAGGCTGGGGTTGTACAAAAGCAGTCGGCATTGGGCGATTGGATCTCGGAGAGGCTGTTGGAGGTCCTTCAGGGGGCAAGAGGAGATGTTATTTATTGGCCTAAGTGATGAGGCGAACTGAAGCGCGTCGGGCTGATGATCAAAGCATAAGCGATTTTTCTTTCCGACATACGTTTCAGCTGTGCGCAAGAGGGAAGCGAATGACACGAAGTAATTGTCAGCGAGATGGCCAGTTTAATGGAAACTTGACTTGGGTCATCATGGGGATATGAATGTTGATAGGACAGTCTCGAAAGAGCCCATGATCTGCGTCTTTTACTCGGACAGTTTTCGAAATATTAAGTGAACCAACCGTATGAATTGGCGGCTTCGAATGGCAATTTTTTCGCTTCATAAGTAGGTTTTCTAAACTATTTGTAGATCTGATACAAGAGTTGTTTAAAGTAATGATGGATACAATTATTATATCAGATCTGCTGGCAGTCCTGAAAGCCTACTTATAGGATAAAAATAAGTAATGTAGTCGATTGTTATCAAAAATTCAACTTTGCCCCATCGACATCCCATCATGGAAGTGCAATAATGGAAAAGTCTATGCTTCCTTGAACTTGATCTCTATCTTGTGATCCAAGGGCACTCATGGAAGGGTGACGTAGTGTTTAGTGCGTCTAGACTATACCACTATACCACAACTCTGGTTCGAGTCCCGCTTGGGGTGGTTATGCGGCTTAGGCGAGGCAGAAACTGTAGTCAACCTTGAACAAGACTATCGTCTTGGAAGCAAAGATATGTGAAATGCAATGTAAACTTTGTGGGACAATTTAACTGCCAGTCCCTTCTCACATTAAATGAACCAGGGCAAATGCGGCTTTTATTTTTTGAACTGGAAAAGCTGTGCTTTTGCTGTGCTCTCAATTTTGAAGCTATTTCGATTTGAATAAACTTGAGTATTGTTGGTAGTTAACGGTCATGATATGTGCGGATTTGGTCTATAAATAAGATGCTAGCTAAATGGAGAACCTTCTGGACTCGGATATCATGGGGTCTCGACCAAACTCAGTCTGACACCATGATTGCAATATGAGGATACTATAATAGCCATTGTCAAAAGCAAATCTTTTTATGCGTTTTGTGTGCTCAGGTACACACTTGGAAGGTCTAAAGGTAAAACTCACATGTGAGCATAACAGTGAAATATGTAGCTTTCAGGCTGAAAACGCAAAGGAAACTGACAAATTATCCAACCTCATAAAGGTCACTACACTTGAAACTTCTAGTTGTGGTAGAGTTACCAACTTTGTGAGTACCTTGAAGATATGAAGACCAAGATGTTGTGGCCTCTGGTATGGTTGCAGTCTCCTTTCGATTTATAGAAGTGGGTTAAGCTCGTTGTCGCAACTTGGTCTTGGTGCCAGGGCGAATTAGTAGAACGCACCTAGTCCGAAGTCGTCTGCCATAGTAGTTGTCATGATTCCCAGCATCAGACAGTGGCTGCATTATAAAACTTTTCGCCGGCATCTTAGTAGGCATCATCAGTCAGTTTTGCCATTCTCCGCCCCAAGATACGAACTCGTCAAAGAGACAAGTGAACAAAAAATGTTTCGCGGGCATGGTAGTCGGCCATTGACATACTTGTGTAGAAAAATCTAATGAACAGGAGATTGGAGGAAGGTAGATTTAGTGATAACGTTGCCTACTGCC